GTTCTACTTCGTTCTGTAAAGTGCTTTGAGAAGCCATCTTTAAAGGTTCTATATAAAAAAAGTTTTTTGTTATTATCATTTATTACTGTACCATTAACCACTTCAACTTCAAGTCTAGCTTAAATGTTTGTAATGAAAGCAACATTATGTTTTTTTGCACAGGTTCTTCAGCATCTCAAAAAAGTCAATTTCATAACCAAAACAGGAGAGCAGGTCTCATTTGACGACAATGGAGATCCAGTTGCGAGATATGAATTAGTGAACTGGCAGCTTGTAAACGAGAGCACCATCCAATTCACGACCATCGGTTACTATGATGCTTCACTGCCAGAAGGTCGTCAGTTTGTCATGAATCAAGTTAACATTTCTTGGGCAGGTGGTCAATATGAGGTAGGCATGTGAAAATATATAACAAAGAAACGTATTTTTGTTGTTTTATTGCACAATGATTCTGTTATCATTTGTCCTTAAAGAAAGGGCAAAACAAAGTGAAAAAAGTACATGATTCTATTTGCTTAATGATCTTAATTATTGTAGATTTGCTTAAGCTCTGTTCTTAAAAATATGTGTTTTTCTTTCTTCCCTGAATCTCTCTATTTTGCTTAATGAACTATTTGTATAATAGTTATTATAATACAAATATTTTAAATATGAACTTCTTCTGAGAAAGATGTTCTCTGGAATACTTCACTGACTCACAAAGCATTTTATATTTACATATACAGTACTATAATAATAGTTTTGAAGTCAATTTTGTCTGACCCTTGCTGTGCAGAAGCCTGTGTCAGTGTGCAGTGAGAGCTGTCCCCCAGGCACTCGAAAGGCAGTTCAGAGAGGAAGGCCTGTGTGTTGCTATGACTGTATTCACTGTGCTGAAGGAGAGATCAGCAACACCACAGGTAAATAGTAGGACAGCACATTAGCATGCCTTAGTTTAGCCCAATAATGTATTGTAATAATCAACAAATTAGTGACATAATATATATATATCCTTTTTTAATGTCATTATTAATTACGATATTCCAGATACATTTTTACATGCTTTTCTTTATCCTATATTGTACACTAAACAAAACTTGTGGGTTTCTTTGCAGATGCTAATGATTGTATCCAGTGTTCTTTGGATTATTGGTCAAATGAGAAAAGAGATGCATGTGTACTTAAAATAATTGAATTTTTGTCCTTTGGAGAAATCATGGGAATTGTGCTTGTGATATTTTCTGTGTCTGGAGCTTGTGTTACTATAGGGATAGCACTGATCTTCTTTAAATATAAGGACACTCCCATCGTTAAAGCCAATAACTCTGAACTGAGTTTCCTTCTGCTCTTTTCACTGACACTGTGTTTCCTCTGTTCACTTACTTTCAT